TCCCCCGTATAGCCTATGGTCGGGCCCCAAGTTTCTGGCCCGCTCGGAAACCCCACTAGGCCTGGGATAGGGGCCGACCACACACCCCCTGCCAGTCCTCTGCGGGCTCCCCGATGAAGCCACGCCCGAAAAGCCTCGGGCCCGACCTGCTCGTGTCCCGGCTCCTCCTCCTCCTCCTCCTCGTCCTCCTCCTCCTCTTCCTTCTCCTCCTCCTCTTCCTTCTCCTCCTCCACCTCCTCCTCGTCCTCCTCCTCCTCCTCCTCCCTCCCTCCCTCCCTCCCTCCCTCCCTCCCTCTCATCCTTCTCCTCCTCCTCCTCCACTTCCTCCTCGTCTCCTCCTCCTCCTCTCTTCCTCTTCCTCTCCTCTTCCTCCTCCTCCTCCTTCTCCTCTTCCTCCCCCTTCCCCTCCTCCTGCTCCTCCTCTCCTCCTCCTCCTCCTCCTCCTCCTCTCCTTCCTCCTCCTTTTCCATCCCAGGGGCCTGCCGCCCCCCCCCCCGCCGCGAGACGCGGCGCGGTGCGATCGCGGGGCCGCCCGCGCGCCACTCGGCCCCATGGAGCCCGGCGGCCCCCCGCGAGCGGTGGCGGCCGGGCACGCCGCGCACAACCCTGGCGAGAGGGAGGGCCTGCAGGCGCCTGCGTGGGGGTCCTGCTCCTGCTCCTTCTCCTCCTCCTCCTCCTCCTCCTCCTCCTCCTCCTCCTTCTCCCTTCTCTCCTCCTCTCCTCCTCCTCCTCCTCCTCCTCCTCCTCCTCCTCCTCCTCCTCCTCCTCCTCCTCCTCCCATCTTCCTCATCCTCTTCCAACGACTTCGACGACGACGACGACGACGACGACGACGACGACGACGACGACGACGACGGCGGGGCTGGGCGGCTGGACCGAAGGTCAGTATCGTTGAACCAGCCCCCATCCCCCCATCCCCATCCCCTTCGAGACCCCCACCAAGTTCATTCCCCAGTTGGGGATGCACCCCTCGAAGCCCGAAGGGAACGGCCCATGTCCCCCACCAGGGGGGTAAATCGGCCAGTGGGGCCCAGGCCACGCCGCTGGGGATGGGGATCGGTTAAACGAACGATGCTCAGGAGGGGGGCGGAGGCGTGCGGGCGGGTGGAGTCAGGGGAGGAAGCGGTACCGACACCGCTGCCCTGGCAACGCTTTCGCCCATGTCGGCCTCGGGGGAGGCCCTCTTCGCCACCGCTAGATCTGCCTTGAGATTGAGCCTGATTCCCATTGTTACCTCCTTCATTTGAAGAAGCAGCAGGTTTGGCGTTCACCTTGCCGAACAAAGCGCTCCATTGCTGCTGCATCGATTTGGTAAGAGAAGAAACACCTGCGATTCCAAGGGAAGATGTGCGCGAAGATGCCACTGTGAGCCACTTCGCAGATACTGAAACTGGTCCGAACGCAACCTGGGAGAGGTCCGGGGAGTATAGCAGTATCAGTGCCTGTTTGGATTTCCCCAGGGAGCGGCGGGCGGGCGGGCGAGCGGGAGGATTGGGGGAGAGGAGGGGGGATGTAAGAGGTGTGTGTGTGTATGCGTGTGTATGAGGTGCGTTCCTCAGTTGCGTGTGCGAATCTGAGGAGAGGAGGAAAGAAAAGTAGATGGAGGCGGATGACGACGACGACGACGACAACGACGACGACGACGACGGTGATGATGATGATGATGATGATGATGATGATGATGGTGATGATGATGATGATGATGATGATGATGATGATGTTGATGGTGAGGAGGGGGATGATGTCGAAGAAATGGTTGCGATGATGATGCTGCTGTCGTTGATGATGATGGTATTGATGAGGATGTTGAGATGGTGATGATGATGCGGATGTTGATGATGAGCATGATGATGAGGATGAGGATGAGGATGAGGATGATGCTGATGAAGATAATGATGATGATTGCAGTGCTGCTGCTGATGATGCCGACGATGGTGATGATGATGCTGATGATGATGACGATGGTGCTGCTGATCATGCCGATGATAATTGTGAGGGTGAATATGATACTGACACTGTTGATGGTGATCACCATGATGATCGTGATGTGAAGATTATGCTACTGATTATGATGATGACGATGCGTCTGCTGCTGATGAGGATGCTGTTGTGAGGATGCGGGTTATTTGAATGGTAATGACGGTGGTGGTGGTGGTGATGCTAAAAATGATGATGATGCTGATGCTGATTACAATATTGAAGATGTGATGTTGATGCTGACTGAGGATGATGCTGATGATGCTGATGGTGATGCTGCTGCTGATGATGATGACGATGCTGATGCTGATGTTGACAATGATGATGATGATGGATAGTGTGATGCTGCTGCTGATGATTATGCTGATTATATTAAGGATGATGTCGATGCTGCTGATGATGCTGATTCTGATTATGATGATGATGCTGATGCTGATGCTGATGAGGATAATGATGAAGCTGATGATGATGCTGATGATTCTGCTGATGATGCTGCTGATGATGATGACGAGGAGGATGATGATGCTGCTGATGCTGATGACAATGATGGTGGTGATGATGACGTTGATGATGCCGATGATGCCGCTGTTGCTGCTGCTGGTGATGATGATGGCTCAAGATGACTGATGATGCTGATGATGCTGATGGTGATGCTGCTGCTGCTAATGATGATGATGCTGATGGTGATGATACTAATGATGCTGACTAATGTGATGATGCTGATGATGATGATGATGCTGATGACATTAAGGATGGTGACGATGATACTCCTGTTGCAGATGATGCTGATTCCGATTATGATAATGATGATGAGGGTGATGATGATGATGATGCTGATGCTGATGATGATGCTGTTGATGATGATGTTGTTGTTGATGATGATGCTGATTAGGATGATGATGCTGATGATAATGATGATGATGCTGATGATGATGATGCTTATGATGGTGATGCTGATGATGATGCTGATGATGGTGATGCTGTTGTTGATGACCATTTTGATTATGATAACGATGATGAGGATGGGGAGGAGGAGGAGGAGGAGGAGGAGGAGGAGGAGGACGAGAAGGCGGATGTGGATGATTTTAACGAGAAGGAGGATGATTCTTCTGCGGCGGAGGAACATTGAGATAATGACGAAAGGGAGGAGGAGGAGGAGGAAGAGGAGGAGGAGGAGGAGGAGGAGGAGGAGGAGGAGGAGTAGGAGGAGGAGGAGGGGGGGGGGAGGGAGGAGGACGACGGAGGACAGGAGGAGGAGAAGGAGGAGGGGGGGATTGATGAAGGGAGAAGGAGGGGGGTGCAACGAAGGAGGGAGCGAGGGAGGGAGGGAGCAAGGGATGCTGGGGGAGCAATCGCGAGGGACGATGATGATGATGATGATGATGATGATGATGATGATGATGATGATGATGATGATGATGATGATGGGGATGATGATGATGGTGATGATGATGAGGATGAGGATGAGGATGATGATGAGGATGATCATAATAATACTGATGCTGCTGATGATGATGATGCTGGTGATGATGCTGCTGCTGCTGATGATGATGATGATGCTGATGCTGCTGATGATGATGATGCTGATGATGATGATGATGATGATGATGATGATGATGATGATGGCTGGTGCTGATGCTGCTGATGATGACGATGGTGATGATGATGCTGCTGATGATGATGATGCTGGTGATGATGCTGATGATGCTGATGATGCTGGTTATGTCGATGCTGATGAGGATGAGGATGAGGATGAGGATGAGGATGAGGATGAGGATGAGGGTGATGATGATGACGAGGAGGAGGAGGAGGAGGAGGAGGAGGAGGAGGAGAAGGAGGAGGAGCAGGAGGACTAAGGCAGGGAGAAGGAGGGGTGAGAAAGGAATGAGGCAGGAAGGGAGGAGGGAGGAGGGATGCAGGGAGAGATGGCGAGGGAGGAAGGAGGGGATTCAGAGGGGGGTGGGGGGGTTGGAACGGGGGGGAGATAAGGATTGGGGAAGGAAGGGATGAGGGAGAGAGGGAAGGCGGGAAGGCTCATTTTTCACTTACGGAACGCTGTTCCGCACAGCCACGGGGAGGCTGAACCATGGGCCCGCAGAACGCACCACGTCGCGCAGAAAGCAATAAGCCGGGTGAACGCACCAACCGGAACTCATTTTGGGGCGTCCGCGCAACAGCGTTCCGAGGTAGGGCCAACGGTGAGCCGGATGAATGAGCCAATGCGCGCACGTTTGGGCCCGCGCCCTTGCGAGGGTCGCCGCCCCCACGGGGTGGCGCGAGGCCGAATCATGGGCTGGGCGAGCGCACCAAATAGACCACCGATGGGAGGCCGAACTGTGAGCTGGGTGACCGCACCATTCCGCGCGCAAAGCCATGAGCCGGGTGAGCGCACCAAAGGAACAGATTACTGGGTGCCCGCGGAACGGCGTTCCGCGGACCGCGGGGCGGAAGGTCCCAGAGGGCGGGATGGAGGAGGAGGAAGAGGAAGAGCAGGATATAAAAGGGGAAACGGCAAGTACTGGACGAGACTGGGGTTCAAGCCATGAACGCGCAGGCCGACACCATCGTGGCCACGAAATCTTTCAGCAGCGTGTCTATCCCGCGTGATCCGGCATGTCATCGCCCGCTTTTATCCCGTCCTATAATGGCACACCCAATTCGATGGGAATGGGCCTGGCCTGCGAGTTGGCGCGGACGATCGCCGTCGAACGAGTAGCAGAAAGGCGTTCCATAAATTGGGAACGGCCTCCCAGGGCAGGATTCCATCCACCCCCCCACTCAACCGCCGTCCGAACGCACCTTTCGCGCGCCCGTCTCAGGAGGGACGCTGGCGCCGACGCCGACGCCGACGCCGACGCCGACGCTGTGGGGCGGCCGACGCCGACGCTGTGGGGCGGCCGACGTCGCGGCGGCGGTGGCGACGACGCCGACGCCGACGCTGCGGCGGCGGTGGCGACGACGATGCCGCCGACGGCGACGGCAACCGCGGCCACGGCGGTGGCGACGGCGAGGGGCCACGGCAGGCGCTGAGGGCCGCGGTGGCCGCGCGGCTGCCCGGGGGGCCCGTGCGGTGCGTGCGGGTGGCAG